TGTCAAGGTTGCACCGTATAATGCAATAGGGGACGGAGTCCATGATGACACCGATGCCATACAGAGAGCAGTCGACAACAATGAGATCGTGCTCATTCCCAAAGGAAAATTTCTTCTCACATCAACCCTGAAGCTGCGCGCCAACACCAAACTGATTGGTGTCGGTCACACGCTATCCATGCTGCACAGTGCGTGGATGCCACTGAACAATACAAAGCGTGGGCAATCCAGTCCTCTTGTCGAGACTGCTTCAGGTGCCGGAAGCACCGTAATAGCATTCCTGTACATTGCTACTCTTCACCCGGCATCCACATACGGTTTCCTCTGGCAAGTTCATGGCCAGGATTGTATAATGCGTCAGGTGATTTGTCGCACTACAATATTCTTTTACGGCTGGGAAGAAAGACGTGAAAGCGCATCGAACCAGAACGTAACTCATCCGTTGATGGTGATCAGCGGAGGTGGAAAGTTTTACACGTTGGGTAACGGCGGGCACAACCATCAGATGCCAAGTTACAGGCACATTCTCGTCGTGAACTCCACAGCCGGCGCAAGTTTCTATCACCTGAATGCAGAGCACGGCCGTGGCGATGCCAACGTGGAAATACGTGCATCGAGCAATGTCAGCATTCACGGATTCAAGAGTGAAGGAAATTTCGTTGCCATGCTGTTTCGTAATAGTAACAATACTTCACTTTATGGCTTCGGTGGCAATGCAGCAGCATTTCCGGTAACGTTCAAGTATCCAGCCGGGTACACGCAAGCAACTCCATCACTTTTTCGCATAGAGAACTGTAAAAATCTCCGCATAGCTAATGTAATGGATTTCACACGGTCAAGAGGTGGCAATGCAACTTTCTTTGCCGGCAAAGGAGTGGATCCACGACTGTGGACAATGATTCTTGACCAGACCCTAGACAGATATATTCCCCCATTGGATCGTCCAGTGCTGTACTACTGCCAATGAAGGTTGGATAAACTCTGAACTGCGGGGTATGCTTGTGCTATCACGAAGGCCGTTGACTACGAAGAAGACGCTGAAACATAGATTGGCGGACATTTTCTTCATTAAACCTGGCCATCATCTGACATTTGCAATAGGGTTTGCACAGCGTTCTCCACTTCTTCTGTGCTCACTCATGCCTGTTACTTCTGCTCATAGCTAATCTACAAGTTGCTCTCGAATACAGCTATCAGGGTTTAATATTTGCTCAAAGATCAAGAAAGATACCGGGTGCATCGTTGTGTAGTCAAACATCAATTATTGCCATCCATAATCTTTTGTCTGCAGGTAAACATGGTGCAATGTACTAGCACTGGTCTTGTTTTCATCTCTGCATAGCAATGGATGATCGGGTGATGACAAAAGGTACCTTCAACTATTCCTGGTGCAGTCTAAGAACGTTCGATCTGAAGTAAATGTAGTCGTGTAAGAAACATGGGATCGTCCTCAGTCAGGTACAGTGGCTCATGCAATGCAAACTACATCCAGTGCCCAGCGTAGACGATTGTACACACGTACCAGTATGACTGTGTTCTTGGTAGTATACACTAACTTAGTAGGTGGACACCAAGACTTGGTGTCCACCTACTAGTTAGTCCCCCCAGTTAGTTAGTCCCGTGCCTTAAAGACTGATTTCATGTCATCTTTACTCTGTACTGTACTGTGGAGCTATTGAGTGGGGTGTAAAGTCAACATGCATGTTGACTTCACACTACATGCAATAGTTACACAGTACAGTTCAGGGCACGGAGATGGTATGCTATGGCATTTTGCACTCTGGGTAATAGATGTACCGGTAGTTTGCATTGCACAAGGCACTGTACCTGGGGCAAATCCCATGTTTTAAAGACTATATTCCCTGGATAGCCGCGCCTTTATGACACTACCTTAAAGTATGAATTTCACGTGCACAGAACACAACATAAGAGAGGCATTGGCACAAAAAGAAGAAAATAGTATTTATCATGTTTCTAGTGTTTTAAAGTTCATAATAAACTGCGTGCTGCCGATATTCATATTCGTGAAACAGTACCAAGTATACCACGCACAGCAAAGACAAGAACAAGAACAAAGACCTCTCAGGAACTGATCCAGTACAAAACAGGTCGTTCCATGAATGGCACATGAACCTTGTTCACGTCGTCATAAATGATTGACCATGTGTGTGGGTCAAATCCCTGGCCTTCGAAGTAAGTCTGGTTGCCACCCTTGACCCTTGGGTAATCGACCAAATTGATGAGTTTGACAGCCGTGCAGGTTCCACTGATCCTAAACAATGATGGCGGAAATTGGGTGTAACCTGCCGGGTACTGCTGCGTTAGCGGGAACGCCGCCGCTTGGCCGCCGTACCCATACAAGGAGACATGAGAACTCGCATGAATCCACAGCACAGCATAATTGCCCTCGCTCTTCAGGCCAAAGACGCGGACATTGGACGAGTTGCGCACCTCGGTGTTTGCATCGCCGCGCCCATGCTCCGTGTTCAATTGGTAGAAGTCTAGACCAGCTGTCGAGTCCTTCACGAGAAGATGCCGATAGGACGGTGCTTGATTTTTCCAATCCTCACACTCTAATGTGTAGAACTTGCCGCCACCAGTTATGACCATCAGTGGGGCTGTGCTGTTTGGCAGCGTAGTGGTAGTATTCTGCATGATTTTTGGCTCAAAAGCAAATATATGTACTCCGGTTGAATTGTAGTAGGGAAAACTGGTTGCAGTAGTGCTGTACATTTGCCTATAGTAGCTGCCAGGGCCGTACGTCTGCCAGAGAAACGCGTAGGAAGGAACCGACTGTTGAAACACGACAATCATGAAGAAGGCCAGAACTGTGTCACCCTCTCCTGGATGGGTTTCAAGTACAGGTTTGGGACTCTGCCCCCTGACACGGACGTCGCTTGGACTTCGAATAATGGAGAAGGTGCGGCCGACGCCGATCAACTTGCTATTGGCTTGTAGACGAAGAGTGTCACTTACGAGGTACTCTCCTTTTGGTAGCAGAACAACCTCGTTCTTGTCGATGGCCATCTGCAAAGCCTGCGTATCATCATGTTTGCCATCGCCCACAGCATTGTACGGGCTTGATTTGACATTGACCGCTGACAGTGTTTGAAAGCTGGGAAAGGTCGCCTCGTTCCACAAGTGATTGCTTGTGAGGTCAGAGCGTGGCGGCGAGGATTGTTCCATGATCTGCGTAATGTTATTGTCTGTGTTCGCTCCGTTCTTCCACACTGCACTGGTATACTGGAGCTTCATGGTGGAGTTGTGTAGCCCGTTACGGGTAATGATCGGCGGAGTTATGCCAAATGCGATCTCCTCCACCGACAACCACTCATCGACCGAACATGGGTTAGGAAGTCGACTTTCAGGCCCAGTGAAGCTTTGACGATGGAACACTGCAATCGAGGATGGTCCCTTCACGTACACATTACTCAGGTACAGGCTTCTAGGACTGGTGATGGCAATGTCTTCAGGGTCTGTTGACACGATGACACTGTCGATAAGACTGATCTGACCGCTGTCGGCTAACCCAGAGGGCTGAACGTTGGGGAGCAAAGACGGCAGAGCACACGGCCCAGCCTGAGGCAGCCATGGTACGTTACTGCTGTACAGAACCTCTGGCGGTACGCTAGCAATCAAGCCTATCACAGACTTTGCTGATGATTGGCGTGATGCGGAGCTCTCCACATGGATTCCGACCGCTGTTAGCGTTTGTAAACCAGAGTAAATGAGTGAACTGCAGCTTTGATTCACAAGGTAAGCTCCAGTAATGCTTGGTGCAGGCTGAGCCATTCGAAAGTCCAAACCATACTTCCCTCCAATCACCGTCAGACCTGCGTGGCTACCTCCGGAACCTGATGCACCAACAAAGCCGATAAATCCATCGTCACCAAGATCAACTTCCACATCCTCCAAGTTTGAGCCCTGAGCACCACGAAGGCGAACACCAATTGCTCCAAAATTTCCTGCACCGACTTTAATGTTTATACTCTGGAGAACCTGATTGAAATCCACACTAGCTTGATAGTCCTCTCCGACTCCATGGCCGTCCAGTAGATCAGCGTCCTCCCAAAAGTGAACCACGTACTTCGGGGCGCTGATGTTTGTGAACCCAGCGGTGTTGTCATGTAAGAGGAATGTTGGCCTGTCGCCTGGGTTTTTCACACGGTCCACTTCCCCCACAATGACTGTGGGCAGGTAACGTCCACGCTTGTGTTCGCTACAATTCAATGTGTCGGTCAGGCGGTATGTGCCCAGCGGCACAAACACCGTCATGCGTTGCTCTCTGGCCGACGAAATCGCCAACTGGAGGCCATCAGTACTGTCTGCGACTCCAGTGGGGTCAGCATTGTACGGCGGCTTTGCGACGTTGATGATTCCCAGATCGTTGTCCGCTGATTCCAGCCATGGAAATGTCCACTTATCTAGGTCCAGTGATTCATTCTCCACGATGCGTGCAAAGGTTTTTGCGTGCAGCTGGACACTGATCAAGATATACGTGTAGGTAACAAGTAGAAAAACTCTGCAGAGAATCCCCGATGCCCCACTCAACCCCATTATCTCAAGGACCACGCACCACACGGTTAGACTTATTTGATTGGCGGCTACAGATCATAGAATGATAGAGTAACAACAGTAACAAGTGATGGACACGCACAAACTGTTACTGTGTTTGGGTTGCAATGCATGCATGGAAAAACAGTCTCAGTGAGCATGAGTGACGGCCGGCATCGGAGCAACAAAAATAAAAGGTTGATACCATGACGATAGACACCGAGACAGTGGTGTTGCTATAGCAAGGTCAGTTGAGTTTGAATGCGATGCTACTCCGTGTGTACGTGTAGGGAACGCGAGCTGTCAACGCAACCGCCGTCAAGGATTATGGACTCGTTTCTTCTTGACACTACTGACTGTCCTGCACTGCAGATACATCACTCATCAGTGAAGTAGAGATTGGACTATTCTTTTATAATTATTTTTGGATTGCAGTACAAGGTTGGCAAGTGACAGTGCAGTGCGTCAGTAGCAGTGAAAAACATTTTTGAGGGTAGAACTGCGTGTGATACAGACAGATCAGAGTCAGATATTTGTCTTTCAAAGACATCTACTGACTGTCATAGTACTGCCGCTAGCATCAGGTAAGACAGAATCAGTTGAGAAAATAGTTTGGTATCGACTATGGGTTCAGGTAGCAATGCTTCATCGAATCTGGCACTGAGGAATTGAGTAGTTACTTGGGAGACCTCGCAATGCAGGAGTTTGGAGCGAAGTGGGCTAGATTGTAGTACCGGTGCATGCGGCTAGTACTAGTAGTAGGCTAGAAAACGTGCCGCGTCTCCATCTCGTTCATGTGGACTGAATGTATGGGTAAGACCTTCGAATGGTGCGAGAGAATGAATATCACATCGCCGACGGACAAGCGGAGAATCCGTTCGTTGACGGCACGTTCCCTTCGCTGAAATTCAGACTTGCCCCCTTGGCAGTCCAGCACCTAGCAAGCATGCAAGCAAAGTGAGTGCAATATTATTGGAATACCAGTCCTGTTACTTTTGGCCGCTGCTGTTTTTCAGTCAAATAAAATGGAGCTGAAAAATGGCAAACCCCAAATCTGTTATAATGTGAGCAGCAGGAAGCTAACTTATGGGATGTGCCTCGGAGTTGCACGCCAATGAGCTCAGTAGACAACAGAAAAATGAACGTAACGTTTGATAGGGAAATGAATGAGATACGGGATGCCAACATACCACACGGTGGTGTATTATTTACAGACGTGTGAAAGAGCTTGTGAGTCTCGCTGTCCTGATCACGAGATGATACTCGTCAACGCGCGACGCAGCCTCCCTCTGACAACTGCAGTAGTAGCGTACGACATTCTTCAGAGAAACATTTCCTTTTGATCTCATTTCAAAGATATTTTGACGAGACAGAAAAGCACTATTTCCCAGTGCTTTTCCAGAGAGTAAACGTATGTGAATTTCAAGCAAAAGAAGTGCAGTGTGAGTGTTGCTGCTCTGGTATGGGCTTCTCACGACCTGGCAATGATGTTCAAATTGCAACCTACTATCGGAGTACAGTCAGCTTTGCGAATAACGACACTTGACGGGGCATCAGAAAATTGTCCTTATTCGCGAAGTGTCTTTATACTGTGAATCCGTATTTTGTATAGTATGACACGCATAATGATCAAAATGAAGCTCTTTTCATGCTCTATGTCGATGTGTACTTTATTTTCATATCACAATTGAAAGGAACAATAAAGTCAATGTGCAAGGAAAATAGATTGAAATACAGTCGATCTATCCTTATAACGATAACCTCTATAACGATATTTTTCTGCCAAACCAAATCACTCCATTGACTTTTGTATACAATGCCTTACCTTCATAACAATGTTGCTATAACGATATTACCCCTATAACGATATAAAATGGGCTGACCAATCGACACTTTCCATTTTATAACAATATCTAGCAGGGAATATATAGAGCCCACTATCCAGGTAGGGCAAGCTTCACTTGATAAGTCGTTGGGACATGTTGAAATACAATGGGGGCACCAGTGGGCACCTTGCTGTGTATATGCTGCGCATGTACGTCAGTTTTTTATGCTATGAAGAGTGTAAAAAATGAACAAAATCCATGCATTATGACGTATGTGTATGAAATGAACCAGTTACCCCTATAACAATATTACCCTTATAACAAAATTTTCTTGGTCTGACGCAAATATCGTTATAAGGGTAGGTCGACTGTACTAGCCTTTTGGAGCCATCTACAGAGACATGTACAATCATGTACACGTATGATGATTACTGTACAATCATGTACAACTACATGACTTGTAGTTGTGCTGATCACTCCAACTATTTAGAAGCAAAATAAAAAATATATAAAGCCCTCCCCCCTCCCCCCCCCCCCCCCCCCCCGCATCTTCTTGCATGTGTGCCTTCATCCATCGCCAGGCATAGGTTCTGGTACTTCTGCATGACAGGTACTTCAAATAGCTGTCAAAAGCCCAGAAAGTAGATATTCAACCAGTGGATATGACCTCAGGGCACTAAAAGCATGTCGCTATTCGCGAATTGACGTTATTCAGATAGTCGTTGTATTCGAATTTAAATGTATACAGTTAGATGGGACTTTGCTCTGGGCACGGAAATTCTGTCGTTATTCGCGAATTGTCGTTATATCTGCAATCATTATTAGCCAAGTTTACTGTACTGTATTTTCTGGAGTTTAAGCCACACCCAATTCTTTTGTAACGAAATACAGACATCTACCCAGTGTATCATCATTTATTTGATCATCATAGTTTAAGCGGCACTGACTTTTTTGGAGGGAATTACGGGTGTCTATACTATACTCTGAAAAATACAGTTTGTCCAGGGCATGAAATAACGGTCGGACATTGGACATTTTCCGACCGTATTGATTTCTTATCGCATGGCCTGATGTCGTTACTGGACCTTCTTTCACAATACATATTATATATCCTTAGCTACAAAAACGCTAACGTAAACGCAATCATTGCCGTACTTCGGATCGTTCAAGCTGACTTTTTCCTTAGCGCAATGTACGTTACAGCTCAGAAGAAGTAGTCATGACAACCATGGCGATACTTTTCGTGGAAACAAGAGCGGGAAATTCAAAATTTTGAACCAGGGATTAGTTTGCTGTCGTTCCGAATGAACACCTTGGCGAGGTCTTTCACTCGGGAATGGCAAAGGCACGGCGAAAATGAGTTTTCGCCGTGCCCAGGTCCTTGGAAAACTTTTCCTACTCGCAGCAGCGATGACTATAAGGGTTCTCCAGCTCCAGCACGTCTGGGAGAGGCCGATGAATTTCTTCCTCTGGAGTGTAGCGGAACAGGTCGTTTGTCTCCCACATGGGATAGAGGGTGAGAGGCGTGAAGCAGAGGACGCAGACATTGTTAACTGAAAGGCAAAACTCACCAAAAAGCGCTAAAAGTCACAAGAGGAAGCAATCTCAACTCTGGTCTCGATCTGCATGTGTTGTCTATCTCCCGCCAGTTACAAGAAACAATGCGAGTTTTTGCAGGTTTTGCAGATTTACCATATTGAGCGTCGGCCCCTTTGTTTTGAGCTCTGTAACGTTTTCCGTTACCCGATAACGTCTTTTGTCACGGCTGGGAGTGAGTACCGTAAAAGTTAGCGTCATCGTACTTTTGCTAAGGATCTCTTATAACATCTAAAGAACTGCCGGGCGCCGAAGAACAGAGCACCAAAGAAAGAACAGCCTATAACTCCACCAAATACAGCATACCAATGTATACCAATGTATACTTAGTTACACGGTGACTCAACTGTTCATAGACATAGACCGTCGTACTTCGATTATATGAAAATAAGAATGGTCTAGGCTACGAGGCTGCCCGTCCCCAGATCTTTGACAACGAACAGTACTGTACTGGTTTAGCATGTGTATAACACGATGAACAGAAGTAATGGTAGTACCGTACTCGCGCAATTAGATCCCTCTCTTGAATAGTGCCTCATCTCGAATAGTGCCCCAGTCTCTAAGAGCCAGTGGAAGATACAGCCCTCTCTTGAATAGTGCCCCCCCCCCCTCCCCCGGGCTTGTAACCAAGCGCATGTGCAATTTTGCTGCTCTTTTGGTAATGTTCTTGTCCGTGTCATTGAACTGGTGGTTTCAGGATTAAAATCGCAGCTCTTGTTGCCCTTTCTGTCGAGTCGTGATTGTTTGCAGTAAACGTTACGCTCTGTTTTTCTTTTCCTTCTTTGGTTTTATGTGGGATGAATTAAATGTACCAGCACTGAAAAAAACTGCCCTTCCTTGAATAGTGCCCTGAATTGAATAGTGCCCTCCCTTGAATAGTGCCCTCCCTTGAATAGTGCCCTCTCTTGAATAGTGCCCCAATCTGTGAAGTACATTGAAAAATAGTGCCCCAGGGGCACTAAGCACGTGAGTACGGTAAGAGGAAGTCAGTTTACTCTCAAAGTTTGTGAGTGGCTGTGGTATGAATGTAATTTGCGGTATTTTGCTTATTACAATGGACCTCCATTACTGTAGGTCTATCATAAACCCTGCTACCATGGTATTTGCATAGCAATCCATGGAGGGAGACAAGGAGCAAATAGAACTAATTTTGTACACTGTACATGCCAATGATTGCACACCATCCGACAGTATACGGTTGTATTATTTATTATTTATTTACACTTGCAGCCCGGATGATGGAGCAACACCGGCACTGGAGAAGCCTGAAGAAATTGTGGAGGCTAAGCATGAAGAGTCGCACAGATACAATCACATCAGCGTTGGGTTCTCGGTGCCGGTGATCGCGAGCAATGACGCAGAACTTGCAAGCGCCGATACTGGAGACAGGCCCAGTACATCCTGTGACCTTAGCCCCGTGGAGAATGAGGCCGGCGATGATAACGCCACTGCTGGTGGTGCGTCACCGATTGCGGGGAATAGCCGTGCGACACGCATGCTACGCAGCTGGCAGGCCAGCTCAATGCGCCTGACGGGCTATGAGGAAGATGAAGCCTTCAGCGGACAGACCTGCAACTCCAGCTTTTCCGGACTGGGGCATTGGACTGCGGTACGTGTATACTGTTGTGGGCATCCAATTCAACTGCAACGGGTACAACAACATGACAGAATGTTGCATTGATTGAGGAGCAACGTTTGGAATCCCTCCAGCATCAATCTAAATGCATACTGAAGAATACTAGTAGACATGACTTTTGTTTCAAATCCCATAAGCGTGACACAAAAGCCATACCCACCATACTAGGTACAAAATATGGTCTTTTTGTGCATATAACTCATTCCCTACTTTAGCCCATGGCGACAACAGTAATTGTCAGCCCACATCTTCAGTGTTCTGTGAGCTAGAAGGCAAGGCCCGTGTGCTGCTGAATAAGGCTGCAAATATACTGTAGAGGCAGAAAATTTCGTCGGTCAACAATTTCGAAAGAAGGGGAGTTCGTCCGGTTGAAAATCTCATCCATAGATCATAAGAGTGTATAGAAAAGCTGGACAAATCGACATTAGTCCGGCATTTAATTTAGTCCAAAAGTTCCCTGGACGAAATTACATTCCAAATGAATATTTCTGCTCATACAGTAGGTTTCAAAGTGACAAGAGGCCTACAAGTCCTTGTCTGTTATCCATTGTTTGACAGGAGTTTAACAAAGCAGCCACGGCAACTGTGAAGAAGCACTTTGATCATATCAATGACATTCTGTACAAAGAACCGGAGGAAGGCATGGAAGGTAAGGAAACTCTGTGGCACTGCTGGGGCGTCGGACACACTACGGTCACTTCGGTAGTGACCGTACCACTTTTTGCCCCAGGCACCCCATGAAACCACCGACAGCACGGGTTTGGGCTCTGGATTTCGGAATCTTTCAACCGAGCCACCCTCTCCCAACAAGTAAATGGTACCTCAGAAGACTGATCTTACCATCCTAAATTACCTTCCGATGCCCCTGTACAGGCTAAGAACACTCAAAGTAGATTTTATGAACTACTCTGTGTGGCCATTTCATTCCGAAGGCAATGGTGTATTTTTGCATCCTTGAGACTTTCTTGTGTGAAGTTCCTGAGATCTGGCTTGTGTGTGAGCCCCATGAATTCTGTGTATACTAACCATAACGATGTGGCTGGATTGCTGGAGTGCGTATGTACAGAAGGGTTTCTAGATGGTTTGTTGAATCGGAAGTAGCCATTCGTTGCTTTTACTGGTTTGCTGCACCAATTACAGCTTCTGCCACCGGTGGCCCACCACTCGGCACTGTATGTCGGCCGACCTCATTACTGGCAGGCACACATGACGGGAAAACCGAGGACATATTCTCTTCCATTGATGATATGCAGTCGTTTGAACGCATTGCACCAGCCAACAGAGCAGTGTGAAGTGGTGACGCGGCTGGTAACTTTGTGTTCCAGTAGAGTGGCTTAGTCTGTTTCAAATTCTCTTTCTCTTCTATCAGGTGATAGGACGGAGCAGCAAGACGAGTGCCGTCTCTGGTCAACCAACTTCCCACATTGGCAGTGAGTTTGGCTCTTCAACTGGCAGTTCATCTAATTGATATTATTGATATTATTGATTTGATTGATTGATTGATTGATATTATATTTTCAAGGATTCCCCAGAGGCAACTGGATGCCTATCAAAGGGAGTCTCCTGGGGAAAGGAAGTTCATCTACTGCAAAAAGAAGAAGAAAAATCGATTGTAGCACTTTCTCTTCGCGTTTCGGAGAAAGGAGTTTTAACAATGCGATAAATAGAACAAATGATGCCAACAGAATACCATGTAACAATCATGAAATGAAAAAATATGTATAAAAATGTGATTCATGAACTTTTTTCTTTTGAAAGAAAAACGTTTGTGAATCACATCTATATAACAATTTTCATTTCATGATGGTTACATGGTATTATGCTGGCATCATTCGTTTTAGTCTCTCTATATATAGCACATTAGAGCTTGCGGTAATGTAGGTTAACACATTGCACAAGCCACCACTTCACACGCGCTCCAGCGGCTTCCAAAGAGCCCGCAGATCTCACGCTATTCATTGATCACGGCTGTTCAAGTGGGCGAAAAAACGGCCAGTCAAGGCCAGCTGATTTTCCGTTGAGATTTGAATTTTTGGTGAAGATGACGACGCTCATGGGAGTCAGCTGTGCGGGAAATGTCAGATAGCCGGCCAAATTCCAAGAGATAACCGTACCAAATCCAACCGGGAATCGGTAAAATCGATCAGGTTCGCCAGGTAAGGTTATGTCCTTGCCGCGATCAAGAGCTAGATCTGTCCTTTGCTTTTTTTGCGCGTCCCTCTCGTCTTTTTGATCAGCCCTGGATATTTCGTGACAGCAGCTTTCACTTTGGCTATAGAGCACTTTGACGTGACTCAGCCTTGTTTCTGGATTTTTGCCACGGTATCAAGAAGTTTTCTCGTGAAGGTAAGGCTTTTGTGCTGCTCGTTGAAAAGAATCAGCTTGATACCATGAGCAGTTTTTTGCTTCCAACCGTTAGCGTGTTGTGTATTTTTTTGATGCATCAGCTGATCAGGATGGAGGAGCACGTGAAGAACCTTGCCCAGCTGTGCCGTTTGTGTGCAGGAAAGCTCCATCGCAGGCATTCTGGTAGAGTAGCGTCAGTGTACCTTGTGAAGGACTATGCTGTGGACATAGCTCGTTGCTACAGCGCAGACATATGTTTGGATGACTCTGAAATTCATCCGACACATTTCTGTGCATCGTGTAGAACTGCACTTACGAAGTTCAGTGCGAGTGGTGTTTCTACTGTGGCAACGGGCTCATCATCGACGTCCAGTGAACCCAGTGGCAGTGCAGTTGCAGCCCCCAGTGAGTACAGTGCAGTAGCTGCATCCAGTGCAACATTGAGGCCAAGGGTTGCCCACCAATGGCTAAAGCACCCTGAAATTGGCCCTTGTACCTCATGTGAGATGGGAGGGAAGTTAGTGCAGGGTGGTCGTCCAGCAAAGAAGAGGAAGTTTTTGGGCATGCAGGCCTCATCCAGCACGTCCAAGGAGCCTGTTGCACTGGATGTCGCAATTGACATGGAAGAAGACGAATTCTACCAGATAGCACCTCCGTCCTTTAAGACCCAGGGACGGCTAGAGCCGAGTAGGTTCATTTCTCCCGTGCCGAGCCTAGCGTGTGGTGTGTGTGTGTGTGCAGATATTGTTGATAGGCCTGTGCAGCCACCGTGTTGTCTATTGTTGTTGTGTGCGTCTTGTGTGGACGCTCACCACCAAGAGCATGACACATGCACACACTGCAGCCAACAACTTCGGCTTTCACAGTACAAAGCACCACACCCACTGCTAATCCAGGTACTGAGAGAGCAACTATTACATTGTGATTTTGTGGGCCAGAGTGCTCTTTCCGGCTGCACCGCAATCGTTCCTCTGGAGAAGCTGAAAAGCCACTGCAGTACTTGCTCTCTCAGCACTGGTGCCGCACACAGCACAATATCACCGTCAACAACCGTGGCAGAAATAATGACTGCATCAGCTGGTATGCTTCGAGGCGACACAGCCAATATGCTCCTTGCCAAATGTATTACAAGCATGCAGGATGATGGCAAGATTGAGCAATGGACTGGCCGTCACCCGATTATGTGGATGAAGATCCCAACAGCATCAGTGTCTAGCAGTGAAGCGTCAAGCCGTGTCCTGCGCAGAAGAGAATCGACTCTGCAGAGTGTTTCCGAGGTGGTATGTGGAGGTGAGTCTGGCAGTGCCTCTCAGCGAGTACACTCCACTAGAGTGATGTCGAAGGAGTCTAGAGAAAGTTTGCTGCACGATGCTGGTGTACTGTCTGAGAAGCCTGCCAGTGGGGTAGGGCTAGCCATAAAGGCAGACTTGCAGCTGCCATGGTACAAGCTGCGCAAACTGCAGAGGTACCTACGGGAGTTTGGTGTACCTCTCGAGTCCGAACATGCCATGCGTCAGAAGCTTCATGATGAACTCCCCTTTGAACTGATCGGCCGTGAAGTGCCGCTGACAGTCAAGGATGGCAATATATCACTTTGCCCCGTTGTGTCTTTCACCAGCCTCATCGATCTCGTGCTGCACTATATTGACATGAACGACAAAGCCGGCACACTGATCTGGCCCGGGGGGTTGCCAGAAGATGAGGTATGGGTGAAAGTGGGGGGTGACCATGGCTATAAATCTTTCAAGTTCTGTTCTGAGCTGGCCAATACTGCACACCCCAATGCCTTGTACAACACGGTCCCATTCGTCGTCTTCTGTGCCAAGGACACGCCGGCCAACTTAGCTACAACTCTGTCTCCATACAGTGATCACCTATCACAGTTACATGGTATGAAATGGAAGGACAAGACGATTAAGCTGTCACTGTTTGGAGACTACGAGTTTCTAATGAAAGCGTATGGGCTTTCCGGTGCAGCAGGAAGATACCCGTGCTTGTTCTGTCAAGCCACCAAGGCCGACCTCCAGCACAGCCAGACTGCAGGCACTCAACCAACACACACACTGCATACTCTCAACACCAACCTAGAAGCGTTTCAGGCAGACGGGAGCAGATTATCAAGAGCAAAGGAACACAAGAACGTTATTAGACCAGCATTGTTCGAAATAGAATTAGAAAATATTTGCATTCCTGTGCTGCATCTGGACCTCGGGATATTTCCATGGTTGTACGAGTCCATGCTCATGGATGCAGAGAAGCTGGATCTGGCGCTTGCCAAGTTAAGCGCTGATGTTCAGCAACCGTCAGAGTCTTTCGTACGTGTTTCCCAGGAAAATCGTCGTCTGCGAGAAGCCCAGACTGAGCTCGTAGAGCAACAGCAGGACATAAGCAAAGTACAACAGCATTTGTACTTTGTCATGCTACACTGCCGGGAGGGGGACCAGGCTGCAATCGATGCAGTTGCAGCAGTACAGTCTCACTGGGCGCAGCTGAAAGAGTCAGCACAGAAACTCAAGGAAGAGATTGCTACTCTGCAACAGTCGTTATCAACTGCTTGTGTGGAGAGTGGTCCCTGTGTGTCCTGCTTCGAGACAGTACTCGTCAAGCATCGCATCGAGCGGCAGGCATACCACTCTGGTGCCTTTATTGGCAACCACGTCCACAGGGCACTGCAGCAGACGGTTATTGAGGAGCTCACCTCTGCTCCAGTAGCAACGGTCAAGACATATCTGTCAGACTCTCCATCGCCGGACGAGACCAGCATACTCCAGGAGGCTCAGGAGCTGCAGGCACGCTACAGCAAGCTGTTTGCAGCGTATGCTAGCTGTCGAGCAGTATTCTCCAAGTGCCAAGTAGCAGATGATGATGTCCTAGAATCCTTGGAGAAACAGATTTCCGAGTTCATGGCAATGGTGAGGCATGACATTGCAGAACGTCTCGGGAAGTCCATCACGCCCAAGTTACACTTGCTTGAGTGTCACACAATTCCCTGCATGCGAAGATTCGGCGTCTCCCTTGGCCTCCTCGGTGAGCAAGGTGGAGAAAGTATTCACAGGAAATTCAAACAGCTACGCTCGTCCCTGGAGAACATGAACCGTGATGTCGATCGACTCCGCGTTCTGGTCACGCAGTATCTGACCACGACATTGCCTCACTATAATCGTATGATTCTCCAGCCGAAGGGAAGAACACTTGAGAAGTAGAAAGGGAAGCGTAAATATACCTAAAATTTCAATAACTGAATCGTTGTTACTGATCCTTTGAATCGTTGTTGTTCGTAATTTAGGTTATCCTCCGGAGCCCAGGCCGGCGGACCCGCTAGGGTTGGTTGTCCACACCTGCCCATAGGTATAAATGTAGCCAGAAGGTGTCTAGACAGAATACATAAAGGAAAACATTCTGAAGAATTGGAATTTCTCTCGATCAAATAATCTACTAAAAATCAGTCACACGGCTACAAAAGCTCAACAAGTACAAAAATGACTGAAAAGGTTCCTCGACGCGTCGCGTGCACTCGAGTTTCCATAGAGATTTGTGACGTAGAACGTTTTTCGCGGATCCTGATTTTTGGCCGCCATTGTGATAAATGGCAACGCTAGAACAGCCGTGTGATGCATGTCAAGCAACACGTACATGCACGCCGCGGTTGCATGTAACATGCGTACGCCGGAACTCACCTGAACTCGCCAGCCAACCAGCCATATGCGGCTGCAGCTCACATCGGAGTTTGAACCCGTAACGCATACACCATACTTCGCCCTGGCCACATTGCTACTTTTGCTTTGCTTTGCTTTGCTTGGGTCGTGAGAAGAACACCGGTTTGTTCCTTTCTCACCCACCCACCTCTTCCCATCTATGAATAATATTGATATCCTTGATTCAACACAAGTATCATAATTCATAAAAGACGAAAATAAATAGGAGTGCTGGGCCAGCTATCTCCTCTCATCTGGCAATTATCACGGCCTGCGGCCATCACACTCATACTCCCACACTCCTGCCTCCTAACGGGCATTGCACTTCGTACGTGGGCCGTCCACACTCCGTCCATTTCATGGGCGCCCATCTCATGGGCTGCACTTTGTGCGTGGACATACATACACACTATCATATGGGCCGTCCACACTACGCCCAGTTCATGGGTGCCCATCTGATGGGCTGCACCTCGTGCGGGGACTATCCTACATGATTATCACATGCCAGATTCGGTTGCCCAGCACTCCATGAATCCTCCATATGATGTGTGCTCTCCACTGGTCTGTAATAGCGAGTGCACGCGTGTTAACGCTGTTTTTTTCTCGTATCAACAATATGATGTGAACTGATGTAATATCACACGAAAACGTTATTGAAACTAACCCACCAACTTTGCCTTGATGTGTGTTTAGAATGAGTGCACAGTTCATCCTTTTCATTGTTATCATGAAACTGTTGTCTCCACGCAGGTTATTTCCCAATTGTTTTATGTATAGGGCTATGCCTGAGGCAATGCCAAGCTGGTGCACGACTCTAGAAACAGGCCAGATGTATTGTGGACTGTCAATGTTCAAGTGTGAACATATTACACCATCCCTTACCTTATTCCATCCCTTACCTTACACCATCCCTTACCTTATTCCATCCCTTACCTTATTCAACTTTAAAAGACTGTGATTATTCTTCTGGCTTTCTTTTGCAGAGCAAAGGGTGTTGGCATTGGAGGTGACATAGATGAGGAGGAGTTGAGGTGTGTCTCATCACCAAGGGCAGCCTCAAGTGCTCAAGGTCTTGCCAGAGTAGGATCAACGAATCGCAGAAGAGGCAGTGCAAGTGCAAAGGCACGGTGAGTTTGAATAAGCCATTCCGATATGCCGACGTGCGAGACGTGGAAGAATTGAATGGCAAAAGATGGGGTAATCAGAAATCTGCCAAGCTCAAGCGGCCTCACTCTGCAATCATTACTCTAGTGTTTTCAAAAAGAGCCTGATGGCAGGCCAGCGTGGATACCCTGTGACATTACATACAATGTATAAGTAGATGAAGATGTGTTGCATGCATGTCATTTAAGCGGAATTCACAGACGTTTTTTTTTGCGATGCGATGGGCGATGCGACGCGGTCTGCGACGTCTGAGGCGTGTGATGCGAACTCGCGAAATACCATTGTCAGACGAATTCAGCGTTACGACGATGCCTTGTCGATTTGGCGCAAAGTTCAATGCAAGTGGGTATGTCACCATTGTACTCATGTGGCTTGGTACAACTTGTACAAATTTACAAGCAACTTTTGAACCTTTGTACAACTTTGCCGCAGAAAAGGTCAAAATCGTGTGCCACATCGCTTGTCGCATCGCCAAGCTCACCTTCTGCGATGGCCCAGTTGCGGCAGTTGTATGGGCTGCGAGACGGCTACGATTTGGGGATTTCCCGGTTTCGCGGCCGTCACATCGCGCATCGCAAAAATGCTTCTGTGAATCCCGCTTCAATGGCAAGCGACAGATGACGACAAATAGCAACATTTGTATTTGCAGGATCAGTCAGGGAAGTGTACTGCATGAAAAGAGAAAATATGCCAGAACCAGCGGTACTCGAACGCGGCACCTTGCTTGTCATGAGCAATTCTCTAGCTAACTGAGCTATGGAACCAGGCCGAACCTAGAAGGCTCTTTTCAGGCAGTTCACTGATCCTTTGAATTTGAAGTTCTCCCAATCCTTTAAAAATTGATCACTTTCTTTCACCTCTGGTAGTACGTTCCAAAAACTGACTGTGGTTGGTTCCCTGGGAGAGGGAAAAGACCCAAGTGCCATGAGCATGTGTGGCATGTGTTGTGAGCTGCCTTTGGAGTAAAACACTTGTCAGCGCCTTCTAGGTTCGGCATGGTCCCATAGCGCAGTTGGTTAAAGCATTGCTGATGACAAGCAAGGTCCCTGGTTCGAGTCCTGGTGGGTGTGGCATTTTTTTCTCTTTTCAGGCAGTTCGTGGGGTGATCATGGGGTGGTGGCGTCCCACGGAAGCGGAAAGGTGGTTCTTGACCAGAGAGTTGTACGACTCCTTGTTCTTGGCCTGCCCGGTACGCGAACCCGTCAATTTTTTCAGGCAGTTCACTTCCCCGACTGATCCTTTGAATTTGAACTTCTCCCAATCCTTTCAAAATTTGTATTTGTATTCCTCGCACTCCTAACAGGCTTGAAGTTCACGGAGCGCCTGTGACTGTCCATGTACCGAAAGAACTGACTGAGGATGGTGGTGGCAGCATTGAGGAAATATTCGCAACTGACGGACTCGTGGAAGACTTCGTAGCCCTCGATATCAGGTAGACTTTTTTTTTCATTTCCGTTTTGAAAACGCTGTCTATGTGTGCCCCTGGTTTTATACTGAACACTGTCAGCAGACACTGTGACTCATACCTTGTGACTAGTTTTTAGACTAAACATCGAGCAGTGACCGGACATACTGATAGTTAATCTATGAGCCTGGCGAATCATCCCGTGACCTGCGGATTCATTGGTCTAGACTAGGGACAAGTCAAATCAAGCCTTTAGCCCTTTGCCGGTCTAACACAATGTATGTGAGGGGTGGTCACGCAAATGCATGTACACACAACCAGCAATAACTCCAGAACCATGTGATGTAGGTATGGGTTAGCAATATATTGGTATTTTTAACATCTTTATGCCTGAACGCGTCCAGAAACTTCAAATATAACTAGGTCCAGGCAAAGATACGACCCATGGTAGCCCTTCAAGTTGAGAGAAAATACAATTGCGAATGAAATACACGAATATCAAAGCACGAAAGGCATACCGAGCTGAATTCCTACGATAAACAATCAAGTATGGGCTATGTCTTTAACAGAAAGGTAGGCTGTACAATCCCGCTATTGAACACCAACATCTTGCCATCAGCGATGCGCCAGCAGCAGCAATTCCCATTCCACGATATTGCAACTTCGGTTTGTTCATCTCAGCACTACTCGGAGAAGAGAGCACTGCTTGGAGAATTTTGTTTCTTCATTTGTGGATGATTTATTTTGAACTAGCAGGACTCAACGAAGCTCTTTCTCTCAACACACTACACTGCGAAACCTCCCGGGAGCTCCAGCCTGGACTGGTGATGGTACTGCTCTCAGAACGCTTGTCAAACACGGCCCCAAGAGATGCACTTGCATTCTCGAAATGCGCGCATGGCGGATGATCGTCTTTTCCAATTTCAACAAACTTCAGTCGATCGATACGGCAAAAAATTGTTGTTTGGTAAGTATGGTTGTTTTGTACATCCTCAGAAAGCCTTGGACCTCAGCTACAAGTAGGGCGCCATTTTAGCTGTCTCCTAGCAACAAGACCCTAAAAAATGTGGGCCAAACGTACGGATACTATAGTATCGGTTCGCTTATGGTAGACCGGTAAAGGGTTAAAAAGGCGATGGTCCTAATTGTTTGCACGCTGGTTTAGACACGATTCATATGTTCTTCCGTTGCAGTGCTGATTATTTACATGTGTGTTCTGGGAGAAGAAGTCTTAAGTTTTGTGCAGCTCTATTGATGTGAAGGGAAGAGGTTTGGATGAACCCAACCATTCCAAAGAAAACTATATAGCTTACACGTATATGGATTTGACTTTGATTCCTTTCCGTATACTTTTTACAACTTTGAATGCAATTACTGAACTCAATTGCCTACGCATGCATCTATGCAAGAACGCACCACTAACCAATAATTAGGACATGTCTCGTAAGTATTGAATGTAATTCCTAACATTTATTCTCAAGATGTCTTTTATGTTGTTCATGCGTCTTTTCAGGGATGGCAGTACGCGGTCACTGGTTGACCTGTCTGAATCCAATGCAGCAAATTCTCAGACCATCACTCCGGTGAACTGCATACGTGCATCTGCGTTTTTTGAAGTCGTCGACCTGTGTGTGCTGGAGGTAAAGATGTGCCATTGCGCGCACCAATACTGTGCTGCAGTAGAAATAGGCATGTGTTGTGGAGCGGGCCACTGGCAGGGAGGAAGTAGTCCGCCTTTTCATAGAGACAATATACAAGATTCGGTCCTTGGCTGCTTGATGTCTGAAAATGGGAACAGGTTTGCTACAGATATATTCCTTCACTTCGAGAGAATCTTGATGTGGATATCGTTGTCAAAATTGCTGTCCCTTCTTCGATATTTCTTCTACCTATCTTCATCTTCCCCTTTTGTCTTACTTCCTCCGTTAACAAAAACTTCGTGATGGATTTTGATGGATATGAAAACGCTTAGAACAGGTCAAGAACAGTTTGTATCGACTGCAAATCACTCGACGAATGTAGTTCAGCCTATGTACAGCATCTTTACTCTAAAGAAACTGTTGGCGGAATGAGCAGAGAGTTCAGTTTGCGTCGCTTTCGCTCGACTCATTTTTGACCCTGCGTTGCTGTCGTCATCTGCTGCACGCGAGTCGTCAGCTCTCTAGAGTCGTTGTTCAGCTCGTTTCAGTCTTGCCTCAGCTTCTTTGATCACACTCCGCTAAACTTGATGTCGCTGTAGTTCAAGTAAGTTGGCTTTCAATCTGCATGATCCGCCGCGGTGGCGATTACTCGTTTCCACCACGGAGTTGTAAAAATATTTTACGACTCCCTGGTTTCATCTCCGCTCTCCAGAACTCCGCGAAACGAGGAGTAAAGTCCCAGCCAAACGGATTCCAATTTCTCTGATGGATACTCTTACCAGCACTGAACGGCAGTGGCTAGCAAGTCCAGTCGACTTTCCTTAGCCACGAGACTCGCTTCGGACTGCAGACTTCTAAACGAATGCATGGTCATCAGCATTCGAATCTGGGCTTTGCGCAGGCTGAACAAGAACTTGAATTCTAATTTATTTCATTGCGCCGTGCGATCGGATCAGCTCCTTGTTCACTCGCTCATTGTGTGGGCTCGCTGCTCCGTTCCATCAGTCCCTATCCCTCTCTAACTCAGTGCTAGAGTAGTAGAGAGGCCAAGCAGTGCATTGTCCCTTGGAGAAGTGGTATTTTCAGTTTCGCTCGCCACGACTGTCATCACCTAGTACCTATGTTGCCACAGCGCAACCATTGATTCCGCTCGGCTTGTTGTGAAAGGTCGCTTTCCTCGCATCATACCTCTTTCATGGCATGCCAGGGAAGGCCGAGAAAGTGATCACGACTCATTTCACGGCAGTTTGTGCGCAAACCAGTCCCTCAAAAATCCATCACGAAGTTTTTGTTAACGGAGGAAGTATGTCTTCAACGTAGTAACTTAGCATTTGTTGCAGAGTATGGAATGGGCTGCAATGAAACTAGCTGAATACTCGCGGCTGCATGCTGTTCATCAGATTAGTCCAACATAAGCACAATAGCTCAGTGAGGGCTCCAGTGTGTCTATCTGTTAACAGATAACTACTTATTGTTCTCCGCAATAAGGAATGCCCTCAAAAAATGATGATGGTAATAGATAGCCATGCAGAATGTACGTGGGCGGACATCCATTTTCGTAGGGACCATTTGAGTATGACCCTTGAGTTTGTGCATCGTTTGTACTCGTTCATCGAATGGAAATGACTGTAACCAAGAGTAAACACATGTTTGCATTTCTTTTGTGCATGTTACTCTGTGTGAAATCAGTTGCAAAGGTCCACCGTGCAGCTAATGAACTTCATGAGAGACAAATCGACAAGGTTCAGAGTTGAAGCTGCTGCAGGTAACGGTGTGCTGCACTGTCTTTTTTCTTAGAGAAGGGGGCATTGCATGCTGGTGTAGGCATGCAAGAAACCAGACTAAGCATTGCATGCTGTTGTAGGCATGCAAGAAACCAGACTAAGCATTGCATGCTGTTGTAGGCATGCAAGAAACCAGACTAAACATTGCATGCTGTTGTAGGCATGCAAGAAACCAGACTAAGCATTGCATGCTGTTGTAGGCATGCAAGAAACCAGACTAAACATTGCATGCTGTTGTAGGCATGCAGGAAACCAGACTAAGCATTGCATGCTGTTGTAGGCATGCAAGAAACCAGACTAAGCATTGCATGCTGGTGTAGGCATGCAAGAAACCAGACTAAGCATTGCATGCTGTTGTAGGCATGCAAGAAACCAGACTAAGCATTGCATGCTGGTGTAGGCATGCAAGAAACCAGACTAAGCATTGCATGCTGTTGTAGGCATGCAAGAAACCAGACTAAGCATTGCATGCTGTTGCCGTGTGTGTGTAGGCATGCAAGAAACCAGACTAAGCATTGCATGCTGTTGTAGGCATGCAAGAAACCAGACTAAGCATTGCATGCTGGTGTAGGCATGCAAGAAACCAGACTAAGCATTGCATGCTGGTGTAGGCATGCAAGAAACCAGACTAAACATTGCATGCTGTTGTAGGCATGCAGGAAACCAGACTAAGCATTGCATGCTGTTGTAGGCATGCAAGAAACCAGACTAAGCATTGCATGCTGGTGTAGGCATGCAAGAAACCAGACTAAGCATTGCATGCTGTTGTAGGCATGCAAGAAACCAGACTAAGCATTGCATGCTGGTGTAGGCATGCAAGAAACCAGACTAAGCATTGCATGCTGTTGTAGGCATGCAAGAAACCAGACTAAGCATTGCATGCTGGTGTAGGCATGCAAGAAACCAGACTAAGCATTGCATGCTGTTGTAGGCATGCAAGAAACCAGACTAAGCATTGCATGCTGTTGCCGTGTGTGTGTAGGCATGCAAGAAACCAGACTAAGCATTGCATGCTGTTGTAGGCATGCAAGAAACCAGACTAAGCATTGCATGCTGGTGTAGGCATGCAAGAAACCAGACTAAGCATTGCATGCTGGTGTAGGCATGCAAGAAACCAGACTAAGCATTGCATGCTGTTGTAGGCATGCAAGAAACCAGACTAAGCATTGCATGCTGTTGTAGGCATGCAAGAAACCAGACTAAGCATTGCATGCTGTTGTAGGCATGCAAGAAACCAGACTAAGCATTGCATGCTGGTGTAGGCATGCAGGAAACCAGACTAAGCATTGCATGCTGTTGTAGGCATGCAAGGAACCAGACTAAGCATTGCATGCTGGTGTAGGCATGCAAGAAACCAGACTTAGCATTGCATGCTGTTGTAGGCATGCAAGAAACCAGACTAAGCATTGCATGCTGTTGTAGGCATGCAAGAAACCAGACTACCGTATTATCTCTAATATAAGCACGGTCCTTTATTTTTTCAATGTACCTCCGCCCCATGCTATTATTGGAGACGTTCCTTTATTGGAGACTGTTCCATTATTATTTCAACCTCATTTCAGAGGCTTGTTGCCATGCCAAATTCATGTCAGACACACACATTTCAGGGGTTTTTCGCCGGTACAGATAATGAATTCACACCGCGTGCTTATAATGGAGACTGAGCACTTTATTTTTTGAATGCCGCCCCAAGGTGTTCTATTATTGGAGACGTGCTATTATTGGAGACTGTGCTTATATTAGAGATAATACGGTAAGCACCTGGAAAGAATAGACAACCAGCCAGTGTGTCTCTCGGATTCTTCATCTGCAAAACCAGCTCAACAGCAGCATATGGCCAAGAGCATTACCGTTACACAAAGCACGGTTACCATGGTTACCATGGCTGTGCACACCAGTACTACAGTCGTGATATACAATGCATGAGTCTACCACACATGTGTCATGCTGAAATAACTGTGTCATATCAGGGGTGTCGGAAAAGCTATTGGACATTGGTGCAGCCGCATAAATAGGTGAATAGGAGGGTCCGGGGTCCTCCCCGGGAACATTCTGGGGAAATTAGGCCCTAATAGCCCATATTTCATTGCTTCAAAACTCACGAGATGAAATTATTGGTGCGGATGTGGCCGCACCTGCCGCACCAGTTCCGACGCCCCGGCATATTCAATGACTGGCATTCTGTCATGCCGATTCGATTGTTATGCGTGAGAGTTGTAAATTGAAAATGCGAATTAAGCACTCGGCCGGGTGGTATCCAGGCATTCTGCCCACCAAGATGTAGAAGCTAGGTTTCAACCTGGGCATGCAGTACATTGAGTTGGCAACTATTAAAAACCGATGCAGGCCTCAACTCAACTCACAGTTTTACGGGGTGGCTTTAGGTCCTCCGGAAACAAAAAGTTCGTGACTTTTTCACATGACTTTTCAAGGAGTTACTGTGCTCAACAAAAGTGTTCTATTGGAAAAGAAACTCTTCAGCACGCTCAATGAAAATGTGTACAATATCTACATGGTCGATTGATGGGAATAGAGTATTAGTCTAAGTCGCCATCACTCGATTCATCACGGCTGGAACCAACCAAAGTGGCAGGTTTCGCTTGTCACGGAGCAGCTTCTCCGCGTCCCTGATCGTCTTTACTGTTACTAGTACGCGATTTACACCAGTGCCTTCCCTAGCATTTAGGTGGAGACCGCGATCGTGCTGGTACTCTGGTATCACCTTGCCTCTCGAGAATGCCCCGGAACGACGCGTACAGGCAAAACCAAACATTTCCATTTTCTCCACGTTGTAGTCGTCCCATCACGTCACGACTGCTGCGAGGAGATCTTGCTTGTTCGCCGATGCTACCAAGGAGACATCAGAGTGGAGGCTGCTGAAAAAGGCAAGATCTTCCATTGAACGACGACTTCGATTTTGAACTTTTCAACTTTGCTGCGCGAAGTGCGAGTATCACATCTTCGCGTTTAGAGTTTTGACATCTTGGACCTGTTCTCACTTTTGCTGGTGTTTTGGGGATGGCGCAGATTTCAAAACGCTAGTTGCTATTCGTTTCACACTCTTCTTGCTCCTTAGTGCCATTGTCCTGCTCTTTCTCATTCTGAACCAAAAACTAGCAGCGATTTGCAGTGAGCGCAGTGCTTTTGTTGGCAATGTGCGTGGTGGACAAAAATGAAAAACATCGTCGCTTGGCTTGGTTTACAGCACGAAACCTTTGCCTTGTGATGACTGTCGTCTTTCCAGAATGTGAATCATGCCTGCCTACAGTTCGGAAATGTCATCTGTTGGTGTTTCAGGCCGACAGAGCCACACACAGAGCGACAGAACAGCAGCGAAAATTAGTGGAAAAAGCCACGAAGTTTTTGTTTCCGGAGGAAGTAGTTGCTGGCTGTTTCCCTGTGCCCTTATCCAGAAAATAATGCATGTGTTCTTCAAAATAGGATGGAGTCAAGCCGTTGAAACAATGGCATATCTTATCTGAAAGACTTTCTTTTGAACCAGTATTCAGAGGAGAATAATTTAGCTTTGATCCACAAACAAATTGAAACCAAAGGTTTTGGGCTGCTTGCGCCAAAATCCTGTCTATGGGTAAGAAGGCCGCCTAGTGTCACTACCTCACGTTAGCGTACATGCCAAGAATATTTGTTCCGATAGAGCATGCTCTTATGTCAAGGCTTCCATTGGGTATTTCACAGTTTCAAGTTCTTATCTCATGTAATGATGCCCTTCTATTCTCTTTTGTTCATCCAGTTTCCTCCGAAGCATGTGTGCCCAACTTTCGCGGAAAGCAGAGAACGAGGAAGAATCCCAGAGCACCACTGCAACACATATCCTTGGATGATATTCAGGTATTGTTCCTTCTTTGATGGAGCAGTGCGACCTTGTTGTGTATTTACTGTGAATTTGTGTATTTACTGTGAATTTGTGTATTTACTGTGAATTTGCGAATAAGTGTGACATTATGGTATTAGTAGTGATTTTGTTTCATGCAGCCCAAACTGACAGTCCAACACAACCATCACACTCTGGTAGGAATTACAAACTATACTTGATGAAGACAGAAGGAGAAGTGGAGAACACAGGGAACAGAGTAGGCATGTACACAGCACAGGCACACAACAGTTACCGCTGGTGCATGCGAGGTGCATGTGCGTACGCGAAGGTGTGAAATAGGAAGCGGGGTCAAATTACATTGGATGCACATGCCAAATATATAGGCACAGGTAGGTGACTGTACAGTCATCACCACATCCTCCGTCAACGGTTCTCATTTCCTGCATGCTACATACCACTGCACACATTCTAACATCTTCTGGTGGCCTCGTGCTCTACTGTAGATATCTCCCTCTGTGCCGATTGGCTATCAACCGGGTGTCATGGCGACAAAGCCGGAGAAGAGTCTTCAGCACCTGATGACGATCAAGTCCTGTGCTCTTCAGCTGCGCACTGGGTCCAGTACACAACTAATGTAAGAGAGACTCAGCAAAGTATTTTTTTATAATTTTTTCCACTTCAAGTATGAAAGTATGGTCTGTCAGAGTTTCCGAAATCATTCACAAAAGCTTCTACCAATGCCCACAATTGGACCCAGGGATCGGGATGATCACATTCTCCAAAGTAGTCATCTATACTGATTTCGGTTATTCAACTACGCTTTGGTAAATCTGTATTAGGCGGCCACTTATGAGATGCCAAAAACCTATTTTTGTAGACAGGTGGTCTTGCTATGCAGACTCTAGCTTGAATATTTTGTTGAAATAATTATGTCATGTGGCGTGAGGTGGCCAGTCTCCGGCGTGAGATGTGAATTGGGACATTCTGCACTGTTCCGGCTGGGTCTGCATTGTAGCAGGGGCAGCATGACTCTAGGACGTAGAAGTAGAGGAAATATCCTAGATATCGCACATTGTTGTAACAGGAAGGTGTGAGGTTACATGCAAATTGAAATTGAATTGACTCTCCAATACGCAGGCATGACTCGTAACTTGTTATATTAGTGGACAAAATCCTTGTGATTACTTGACTGCTTTTTCTACTTTGCCGATGCTTTCCTTCCCCATTCTCACTGCTCAATATTTGACAGACGTGAGGAAACACCAACAGTTCCGGTAAGAGCCTAGAATACTTTGTTTTCCTATATTAGCGTGTGTAATTAATGTGTGGATCAAGCATAACTGCTTGGTTGACGCTGCTGCGTGAATGCGTGTAATAACAACAATAATGATAATAGACTCGGATGGAGAGCAAAGGTTTAATTTATACAAAAGAGAAAGGAACTTGTAGTTCCTTGGTCCCTTCTCTTTTGTATAATAATGATAGATCAACAGAGAGGCGAGTAAGACCGCACGACCCCTGAACATCATGCTCCTCTGGTTTGCCGAGCTGCATGTGTGATTCCCCCGGCATTATCTATATGATGAAGTGTGCACTGTGTCGAAAGCGGTATGTCCGTGAGACCTTCAGGGTCGCAAGAGACCGTTTCGAGGAACACCAAGACGAAGTAAGTCACAGGATACTGGAAAAAAAATGTCATGGTTCGCGTGAGACTCCGCTGGAAGCCGAGTTTTCCGCATCCGCCGTGGGAACTCCACCACCCTCTAGGATGCTCGAAAACTGTGGGGTGAACACATGGCTACCGATCACCAGCAGCACGGAACCATCAAGAGCACCTTGAGATGTGATTTTCATTGAGGCCCAAGTACTGGCCGTGAAGACAAGGATGGCCAGAAGAAAAATCAGGGAGTCCATCGAGATTCGAGAGCGTCGTCCGGAGATCGATATCTCCTTCGGATGGCCATTGAAGGCGCTAGCACCCTCACAGTGAAACTGCCAAATCTTGCTGTGTCTGTACAGGGTTGTACCCACAATGATTGTGGTATACACCTTCGTACACACATTTCCTGCGCTTTATCTGCTGAGCTGTTTCATACCCACTCTTTCAGCGCACTTCTCCTTGTCGGTTGTACATGCAAATTCAGACACTCAATTGCATACGGCTATTGTGTGTTTCATTTGTTTTGTACATGGACATACATGTACATATGCTCTCGCTTGCTTTCGTTATAAAAGGCCAGGTTCGCTCCTTGTACATTGTTCTGACGATGGGTGACTGGCCCAAACCGTCATACTTTTTCAACTTCACTAATAAAGGAATTTTTCATCCAGCGCATACGCCAAGAGTGAATAGCGACTGAATAGAGCGGTTGTCAGTCGACAACCCCCCCCCCCCCTCCTTTACTTATTAGATTAACAAAGAGTACGTAACACATGGATATTATTTACAGTCACTTATGCCATGATGCAATATAGCGAATGGAGTGTATTGAATTCAAGTGTATAGTGGCAATGTTGCAAGAGAAATTAACATTGAGGACTTGATCATTGCTTGCAACTCACTTATGGTTCGGTAAGAAGCGAGTGATAGCATTTTGGCCAACATTTGTGTTCTTAGTGAAGGATCCGATCCAAAATGCTCTAATACTTCCAGTCTCCATGAGCTGAAAATATATTTTTGTTCCGTTGTTCTACTAGACTCGTATGGAGCAGAATGCAGTGGCACAGCGTCAGTTGACCACGCCACTGCATATTCACAAGATGTCACTGCAAGCCAGTCGCCATCCAATGGAATCGGCTACATCACACGGCCTGCCTACTGACATGGCCGGAGATCTGACTCCCGTGAACAGCACACTTGTGGGCCCAGAGGAATCACGGCATCCTCCCCCCGCCGGTGGTCAGCGTGACTTAACGGTGTTCGAGTCCGCAGCCGCTGGACCCGCTAATCTGCCTAGACCCCAGCCCCGGCCTGCATTTGGGTCATGGACAGGTCATGATAGAACAGCTCCACTGCAAATAGCTCCAGCAGCTTCAGCATCAATGAAGCCACTGCCTGCATCTGGCAAGAAAAGGTACTGACAGGTTTTTTTACCCAACAAGAGCACAATCATCATGCTTAATTCTCCGACTCCAATAATAGTCTCTTCATTACAAATTTGCACCGGCTTTTTCTTTCTTACTCCCTTACTGTTGACCCTCAGATCTTGTTGCTTCCTGTTCGACTCTCTGAAGTTATACATTGTACTGTTGAGGCAACAAAATACAATAAATCAAAACAAAAACACCCCAAATCCACCCCAAATGTTCAGGCAGGCCGGAACATTTGGTGGAATGTAAAGTGATTCGCAGTGAAGAGACGGTTACCAGAGTTAAAGAAGTGAGGAGTTACTGATGATACATGTGTGAGTTCAGCTGCATTCCAGTTTACGTGCTGTTAGAAAGGTTTATCGAAAAGAGTACAGTAGATTTGCAGCGCGTGAAAACCCAGTCGCAAGTCATTCCTGTCAGTGATCAGACAGAAAAAGGAAACCAATTTCTTGAGCATCCAAATGCACAGGATCATTAACCTTTTGAGCCCGGGCCCATTGAAAACCTCTGCCACGCAGTAAAATTTTTTAATTCACTCTATGTGAGCAAACTTGATTTCAAACGATTCTTTCATGTATCCTGAGCAAATAGCTGTTGTTTTTTTGGAAATACAACAAAGATTACAAAAGTTATGACCGTTTTCAGAAAGGTAGTTTTACGCGAAATTGGTATTTTGCAACGTATGCACGCGCATGTAACTCCAGTTCAAACTTACGGAGCGACTCGCATTTTTTTACTGTACTCGTACATCCTAGGAGTCCTCTCTGCAGCGGTACAGCTCGACGCCACGGAAGAAACGCGGAATCGATGTAGTTCCGTACTGACTAGTGACGTTCTAGAACGTCACGCGTGTCACAGTGGCAGTGGTCATGACGTGTCAGAACGTCACGCGTGCTCAAAAGGTTAAGTTAGATGACGAAACTGCGCTCGTTCGAAGTAACATGATTTCACAATCAAATTATTAGAGCTATTGCCTGTATATTGCGTGAAGAGAAGGCACGAAAGCTTACTCGTGAAAAGCATTTCGGAATGGGTTGTTGAAGAACCTGATGTTTGTGCTATCAAGTGACATGGCTTTTTTGTCTCCGAGGAAGCTGATTATCAGAGCTCCACCAATCTACTAGCACGCACTACAGCGGTGGCAACTGCAATCCGACTGCAACTCGCTGCGCCCACATTGTAAAGACCCAGCACGCGCTTGTACCACTACGCAATAGATACCGCCAGAACCGGCGCTGCACTCGAGCAGACAAATCGGGAATGGGATTTCAGTTGCCACCACCATGGCGGCATCTGCATAGCAGCATGCTTTGGCTGAAGATGAAGTGTGCTTATCTGTACCCGGCACTGTGTGTTTGCATAGGCACTTGTTGAAGCCGCTTGATCGTGCCAAGACACCGCTCACGAACCCAATGGTAAGTGGAATTGGTAAAGATAATGCCGCCGCTCTCGGTGCATTTAGTTTTCAGAAGGTGGTTGCATGAACGCGACGACATAGGCTGGATTGAACGATTCTGCTCTATTTTTAAAAGAACAAATTCGCGGTTCGCTTGAGGCTCGGTGAGAGACCGATATTTCGGCATCCGTAGAAATGCCAGCACCCTCAAAGATCAGCGTGCAGATGCAAGTCCAAAAGCGGTGGGAGCTGAGTGCATCAGACCCACCACCGAAGTGGTCACACCGAAAATGTACCTGGTACCCTCTGTTCCACAATCATGTTCTTGGACCATACCGGCCTAACTACGCATGCCTGCTGTGTTCCCGGCATTAAGTTACTGAACAATACCAACCATTCTATTGAGTGATAATTATACTTCAGTGAGGAAACATTAGGGCGTCCTTATAAAATAAGATGCAGAAAGGAAAAGGACAAAATGTTACGAGTTACGAGTATGCTGACTGTATAAGATCTGGTTACGTTGGTGGACAGTTTGTCATAACTTGTAACATTTTGTCCTTTTCCTTTCTTCATCATAACTATAATATTATTGGCTCACCATCCGAGTTATAAAATAAGGAACTACAAAATAGCAATCCATTAGAAATTCCATGTGCAACCAGCCATCATTCACTTTTCTCAACTGCCGGTCTGCATAGTATCACCCTCGACAACACTCAACACGTAGTGGAATTGTCGTGTGCCGGCAAGGAAAATTGTTTCCAAAACTTTTCAATTACATTGTATCATATCACTGTGACAGGTATTGCCGCACTGGGAAAAACAGATTGTTATGGTGTTATGGTGTTATGGTGTTATGTGCCTGCATACAAAACAGCAGTAGCACAGTTTATTAAACGTGATTACCGAAAATGATAATTTTGGTGAGATCAACAGAGTATATAGTAGTAAAGTAAAATTGCTGATATCATCTCAAGTAGTACTTAGTGAACATTGGTCTGTTTTCCTCAAGTATAAGACTGTAAATAGTGGAGCCAACTCAACAAATTCAAAGTATACAACTTAGGGCGCGGAGCACTTCTCTTCGGAGATGACCTGGGGCTTGGTATGGAAGTAAACAGAACATTCAGGTTCACGTTTTCTGGAGAGCACCACTTGACAGTTATACTGGTCAGTCTGAGGTGGTGTGTGAAGTCCACGCAGGACTCCTGTACCGTGTACCGACCTTGAATGGCTTGGTATTACTCCTATGGTTGGTGACACGCTCGGCTTTGTTCTGTTAGCGTCTGTGTTGGTGAACGGAGATTGGCGAAGATCGGCGAAGCAGCGACGGACCACATTGTTGCGCAGTGTGAACAGCAGAAAATTGCCCAGGCTTTGTCCATGGTACGAGAGTGCCTGCTACAACATAAAGCAGTCAGATAAGGGAAACAGATATGAGTAGAGAAGTACACCACACTGTCGAGTGTGTAATAATTACGATCCAGGAGTTTCTCACAGTAGTATACTTGAGACCCTGGAACAGTCACGAACATTTTCCACAAGTTGTCCGTCAGGTGCGTGGCGAGTGCAGACAGACGGGTGGCCAACGCTAGCTTAGCCATTCAATGTCATCTAGTGAAACTGTTCTCTCAGTAGTAGTAATAGTAGTAGAGTTTGTATGAAATTTTCATCAATTTCAATGTCCCATGTATAGCCTTACTGAACAATGTATGCGTCTATGCTGAAAAAACAGTCTCTGAAAACACGTCTCCCCCCCCCCCCCCCCTTCCCTTGATGCACTGTTGCAGGACCACAATAAAGTGATGGATGCAAAAGAATTCTAGTACAAAATATAAGTGCTGCACACGGTGCGTGATATACGTTCAGGTCTCACATATGACTATTTCAGTTCATGTACAAGTACATTAGTCTATGCTTGGCATATCAACTTTGGCATGTGCCTGGACACATCTGGCAGTAAAGAAAACGTTAAACTGAGTAGCACTCTGACATGCATTGGGTGCAGCTTGGCCAGTACAACGCAACGCTCAAGCTCCCGTCGGCACAACAATGCCTGGATTGGACGAATCACATACTGACATGCTCCATGTAAAGGACTTCTCAATGAAACCCAGTCACATCACTCAAGTTCGCGCCTTGCACCATTTAGCAGGCCAGTGTTCCCAGGTCTAGGGCTGCGCTAAGCCCGGCGTGTACTTGAGTGACGCGACTGGATTTCTTTGAGCAACTCTGTAGCTAGGACTCACCAACAGCATTGCGGAGGGCGATGATGATGGTGGCAACGTGTAACCAGCGAATGCACACCATGCTTTCAGCACCAGTGGCAGGTTGACTGCCATGAAGAGCAGAGGGAAAGCTCTCATCTTGCTCTGCAGGCTTTGTGCTGCCTTGGTTGCCCGCAGTGTACCGTACTGTCCCTCACCAGATGTCACCTGCAGCGAAGAGGAAGAATAAAAACGCGTAGAACAGATGCTCACACAACATGTGTATTAGACCCAACAACCGTCGGAACACTGTCCTCAAGTCTAGGTGCGGAGTTTACAATGAAAGATAGCTTTTACAGGATTTTCCAGGATTTGTTAGTTTAAAAAAATCACGGTTCGCGTTAGACTCGGCTGAAGGCCAAGCTTTCCTCATCCATAGCAACACCACCACCCTCTATGGGTTCCTTAGCTCAATACATGACTGTAGCTATGTTTAGATAACAGATTGTTGATGTCACTTGTACAGACTTCAAAAGGTAGCTGATTGCAGTAAGTGCAATAATTATATAGCAGAGTATGCATTGAATCTGTGCACGCCGAATTACGTTCATATTTCGAAAAAAGACAATTATGTAGACAGGCTACCAAATCCACTGTAGAAATCGCACGGCGTGAATAAACACATCAAATTTAAAATTATTTACCTGCTTTGTGATGTGGGATCTCATCGTGACGCACGCCACAATCACAGTAAGGATGGCCAACATTCTGAGTGGCTCCAGTGCTAATAATAAATGATAGCTGCTTTGGTCGCTATGTGCTATAAGAATTGTGTCACAGGACATGTAGCAAGGCAGCTTGGCCAGAGCCTGCATAGGTGGCACACATAAACTTGATATCGTTGACACTGCAGTAAAGTATGGCAGAGGTAGGAGTCCGTTCACTACGGTGGAGTATGTGCGAACGACGAAAGCCATGTTCAGCAGCATTGAGGACAACTGGAGACATTCCAACACTGCTGTAAACCCGGCGTCAGGTCTGATGCTACATTCTGGTGAGGAGCCAGGAGCGGTGCTGCTGAGCGATACAAGTTGAAAAACTGCTATGCTGGCGTCCACCGCACTGCTCGCCACTAATACTTTCCGCGAGCCCGTTTGTAGCTCTTTGTACAGGAGAAAAGTTGCGATATTGACGACCGACATACAAAGAGACAGCATAGCAGTAACCATCAGGACTGCCACTGGAATACATGCGGCAGCATTCTCCACTGTCACTATGGTCTCGTAGGCAAATGAGTGGAATATTCCACTTGCACTGGCAGTGGCAGTGGATGATTCCCACACAACAGCAATGTCCAGGCTCCTGTTCGGTATGCTGGTCAACTGCTGCGCCGTCAAGAGGTCTCTACTGGCAGCGACATCCACTGCTCTCTGCTTGATAGAGATGGAGAGATCCATGAGAATAGCAGGCCTATCTGACAGCACAGACCAGGATTCCAGAGCCTTCATTGATCCCTATTGAGTATTGTCACAAATTCTCTGCACAATATGTAGGATTATAATAATAATCTGATGCAACGAGGAAGAAAGAGAAAGGACGGCAACGTTCTCGTTTCTAGATACGAACTGGGGAAATGTTGTTTGCGCTATATTTCAGGTTGTTTTCTTGTTGCTGCTGGTGCCAAGGATGACGCGGTACTCACCAGTGCCAGTGGCAGTATCGGACTATCCTCACCACACGCACAGTCACAAGACTGTCGCTATGTCAGCAGGATCAGAGTACGTGCACGATCTTGCACTGCACTGGACATTAGGGACGACATTGGAGAGCAAATATCTGTCAACTGGGTAACCACAACCCATTATCGCCTGTATCTGAGTGTATGGGCTGCCAGGTTTTCTTTGATGAAAAAACTACCTCCGAGTTCGAAGTGCAGGTTGAGCGCTCTCGTCCCGGATGACGAGCCATGACGACAAAGTATGCAACCAGAGCTAGAGCGCTGGTGATCCCCCAGCAGTGCAGCACGCACCAGTTTTTGGCAGTGACTCGACATCCGCCTGGTGCAGGGCCATTCATTCTGATCTTGAAAGTACTCGTACTCGTAGGCTTGACTCGCGCAGTCACCAAAAATACTTTGTTTGTAGTAGATTCTACCGGTAACCATTTTTCATCTCGACGGTGCAGTATTTCGCATACAGACTAGACGTAGATCTACATGACTGAAAAGTGAAAACCCTATTATATACACACCCGTGCCCGTGGCCTCTTCCGAGTCTTCGCTGCATGCATGCACTTGATGCAGCGAAGAGACCACTGTGACTTGATTTGAGCATGGTGTGCAGGGCTTTTGATGTCATGAAGTGGGCCTGGCTGCACTAGTACTACATACATGTAGACACGGACCTGTTGACTGTTTACATCATGTTGTGACTGTACATCTTCCACTCCAGTCTCCAGGATAGAAACTAAGAAAGGACCATGACTAGTAGTAGTACTAGTAGTAAAATCATGACTTGTAGTAGTACTAGTACTAGTATACATGTAGTAGTTGCCGACTGGCCGAAATAATTTAAAAAAAGAAGAAGAAAAAGGAACAGAGCCCAGCATGCATAGCATCAGACCAGGCCTTCGGCCCGGCGCCCGGGCAGGGGTAGGTACAGCACAGGTCTACCGCCCCGGGTAACCTTTCGTTCTGTAACTGACCTTACTAGTAATTATAGTGTCACTACTAGTATCAGTATCACTTATCAGACAGTAGATCTACGATCACACGACTGACTGTGACTCAGGGTGCGTTTGGTTGGTACGATCTAGAACAGGATCGAACAGCTGGTGCACATGGAGCAGCTTCATGCCAACCAAATGGTACTCCAGAAACAGAGCACATTTTTGTGGAGAAATGTGCTAAACTTGGTGCATTCTTCAAAATGTGTATGGGTCACCATGGTCACTTTGTACGGTACAACGAGTCCACCCCAAAAGCGTATGCACGTGATCATTTGGGACCAAAATCGATGTTCCCGCCAGGTTTCACTGTGAAAAAGTGAAACTGCTCAGTCTGCTCCGGCCTCGAGGCCGGAGCAAGCAGAACATGTTCTGGCCGACCCAGAACAGGTGCAGTCCCAACCAAACGTGCTGTTCTGGTGAATCCTGTTCTAGTTCGTACCAACCAAACGCGCCCTCAGTGTGAGTGACTCGAGACACTTGTACTGAGTCGTAGTCGTACTACCTACATTGTACATGTTGGCTGCATACAGTCAGTAGTACTACCGTAGTAGTACAGTCAGACCTCGCTAAACCGCACACAACCGTTTCCCACAAAAAATATCCGGATAGGCGAGGGAACCGGATAATCGAACACACATACTGTATGTATGCATGGCATATGTCGTAAACCACCGCTGCGTTGCATTTGCAGCCCCATTCAGTCAATGTCTTGTTAGTCTGTTGTTTTGTCATTTCCTCCTTCTTTCTTGTTTACGAATTGGGTGTGTGGTTTCAAGTAAAAAAATAAAATAAATAAAAAATGACTAGTGTCAGTAGTGACAGTCTCGGAGTCGGTAGTACTTGTCGAAGTACCAAGATCTTGGTGGTACAAAAATTCCTGCCAGTGCTGGCCAAAGAAATCCAACCTCATGAATAAAGTAGTGCCGTGGTAGAATGCACAAACCGGTGCAGTGTGTGTAGTAGTACATGACTGTACTAGTAGGGATGCATAGCGCCTGACGCTATTTTATTCATGAGGTTGGATTATTGGCCAGCACTGTACTTGTACTATATGTAGTAGATTTACGTGTTGATTTACTGACCGAGCCTGAGGAGTGCGGACTCAGTAAATGAGTAGAAGCACAGTCGGGAGCCCCTTTGCAGCATATTGCCGCCGGCTGTGCTGACACCGGCAGAGGCATGTCTTCGCCTTAAAGGCTTTGCATGCCGGTAGGCAATCTTATTATAGGTAACGATTTCTTGTGAAGCTTTTGTGTTCAATCTTACATAATCATTTCAATTGAGCATTCTATTTACATGTATTTCCGAATTTTGCTTTTTTTTGCTTTGACTTCATGGTTTCACGCGATTGGCCCATGGGTTGATAAATATGGTGGTAAAGACACACCCGGTAATATGGCGGTAAACACACGCCTGCCCACACACACTCTCTAGGCTGCAAAGTTCTAGCACAGAGCTCTCCTTCTCACCACCATCACCATCAGTTCGCGCCTGGCGCCTGGTCGATGCAGGGTTGGCGGTATCCGGCATAGCAGGCTGGTACATCAAGTAGCGCATGGCACATAGAAGATGACACAGCAACGACATAGCTCGATTGCGACGTACGTTTCTTCCCCTAGAGAGCGTGTGTGGGCAGGCGTGTGTTTACTACCGCCATATTACCGGGTGAGTCTTTACCACCATATTTATCAACCATAAGTACAGCTGCAGTGGTGTCTTCAACTTCATTGGCCCATGGGTGTTGTGAATAAAACCGGGCCCAATTGGTGTTGTGAATAAAAACCGGGCCCAATTGGTGTTGTGAATAAAACCGTTCTCAAGTAGAAGCACATGTCAACCATCAGTTATGACAAAACTAGGTCTACGGCGACACAAAAAAACCCGACGATTACTAGCAAGCATGTACCGTAAACTGCCCAGATCCGGGCAGGTTAGGACCGAGGTAGAACTCCCCAGATCCGGGCAGGTTAGGACCGAGGTAGAACTCCCCAGATCCGGGCAGGTTAGGACCGACCGCTGGCCGTTACTAGGAATTGCCCATGGCTCAGAGTCAGAACTTACAGACTTTCTGCATGTTTTCGAGGTCGACAGCATGCATGCTACAAAGCGAGGACGTACATCCTTGTAACATGCTGGCGACTTTGAAAACATGCATGTTCAGCCTATCAATCAAGGCTTCTACGTGCTAGTATATTATACCTGAGAACAGTTTTGTTCACAACACCAATTGGGCCAATCGCGTGAAACCATGAAGTAAGAGGCAAAGCAAACAGACAACCCAAATTCGGAAATAAACTTTCGACTATATTATAACTTTGTCCAATGATTTTGATGAAATGTCGGTATCACATTCGGACGGAGAATGTACAGTACGCGATACATACGTTTTGAAAGCTACCACCACACGGATGGATGTCGGAAGTTCATTGTACTACAATGTACAAGAAAGGAAAAGATGAGGATAATGCAGTGTGTGTATGTAGGATAATGCAGTGTGTGTATGTAGGATAATGCAGTGTGTGTATGTAGGATAATGCAGTGTGTGTATGTAGGATAATGCAGTGTGTGTATGTAGGATAATGCAGTGTGTGTATGTAGGATAATGCAGTACCCCTGTGTGGAAGTGTCACCGCTTTGCATGTCCGAACCCATCCAACGTAAACGGTTTGGGAAGTCGATGCGGCAAAGGAAGCTCTATTTCGAGTACTCTGTCTGCTGGGCATACATATAGTCAGCATGGCTTGGGTAAAGTGAACAGCTGTACCTACTGTTTGAAATGCCTACTGTGCAGAATTGCTACCGGGCTATTCGGGGAGAGAGCAGGTGGTCGCCAAAGGTGGCGCAGCTACCAGAAGTGGATTTCCTGACAGAATGTTGAATGCCCCTAGTTATTATACACACCTGTAGTGTGGCCTACCGTGATTGCTTACACATGTTGCAGTTGCCAGTTTTAGTTGTCCTGACATTATCTATACTGTGCTTGATACATGTACAGTTTGAGAGTTCGATGTACGTGTGTGTGTGGGTGGGTGTATTTGCGTGTGTGTTCGTGTATGTGTTTGCGTGTCCACGTGTGTGTGTGTGTTTGTGTGTGCGACGTGTGTGTATGTGTGTGTGTGCGTGTGCTCAACATACGAGCAGGATATGGATGTCACACGGGAGGTGTTGCGTGGACACAAGCTGTAAGTATGCCCATGCAGGTCACTCAAAGCAATATGCTCATTGCGCAACGAGGTACTAGTAGTGTGTGTACCGGCAACACCCCACGCAGCCACCTGGCCCAGTGGGGTCGGTTGTGTGGGGGTGTTGAACAGTGCATTGCTGATCCCGTGAGCGAGTGAGTGACAGACACTATGAATATGCAGCCAATGGAAGATTGCACAGTCATGGACATGTACGACAGACCTGTATGTTGTGTGTATTATGAGATGATGATGTGATGTGATGTTGATGCTGCTGATGATGATGTTGATGATGATGATGATGTATGGATCTAATGTTCAGAAAGGATAGATTTAGTCAAAAATGCATGTCTTCAGTGGGGCCGTCACAAAACCGTGTCATAGTTTAATATGCACTGTTGGGTGCTGAACTGCAATGACAGGATGCATAATATTTGTAATCCCTACAGAACGAAAATGGCAACAGGCTGCAGTCCCCCAAGGTATACTGGTACTTTCATGTGCAGCTTGTTGCTATCTTCATTGTGTATACAATCTATATGTATGCATTTGATCCGATTGATTATTCATTAGTTTAAAACGGTGTTTAAAAAAAAGGGAAAAACGTCTGAAGAAAAAGGTGATAACCACCACTAGGACTCGAACCAAGGACCTTTGCTTAAGGCCAGCGATGCTCTAACCGCTGAGCTATGGTAATGATCAGTCAGATTGTGTTGGTATGTGAAGGACACCATTTTCTTTAGGAGTGTTATCATGATTATTGTCCATTTTAATAGTGCGATAAAAGACATGCTGGTTCTAGTTATCCTGAATTAACAATGGTATGTTATGCACAAGATGAACTCCTCAACGCTGCATTTGTTCGTTCAAGATGGCATTTAATCCAGTGTCCATGTGAGTCATGCTGGAATAGGAATTTGTAGTGTGTGTATTATGTGAACAATAAACCTGACAGTGCATTCTAAAAATGTGTGGAATGTCTGACGGAGGCTTTCTGGGCCTGGAATACTAGAGAGAGAGAGAGAGAGAGAGAGAGAGAGAGAGAGAGAGAGAGAGAGAGAGAGAGAGAGAGAGAGAGAGAGAGAGAGAGAGAGAGAGAGAGAGAGAGAGAGAGAGAGAGAGAGAGAGAGAGAGAGAGAGAGAGAGAGAGAGAGGGAGAGGAGGGAGGGAGGGAGGGAGGGAGGGAGGGAGGGAGGAGAGAGAGAGGGAGGAAGGGAGGGGGAGGAAGGGAGGGGGAGGGGGAGGGAGGGGGGGGGAGGGAGGGAGGGAGGGAGGGAGAGAGAGAGAGAGAGAGGACAGATGTGTGTGTGTGTGTGTGTGTGTGATTTTGTGTTTTTGTGATTGTCATGGATTGTGTGTGTGTGTGTGTGTGTGTGTGTGTGGTTGTTTGATTGTGAGATAAAGCTGATCTCAACTGCCAGTGTCTGTATTCCTGCGTATAATTGGCACGGCATCATGCAGTTCTTTACAGGGTGTTCGAGTAGGCACTGCGCGGGACATAAGCTCTGCTCTTCAGCTGACCAACATCCCTCAGCCGCTGAGATCCTACCTCGGAGATGATCTCCAGCCCCAGCACAGGCCTGTCACGGCCCTTCCCAGTATCTCCGTTGACAAGCCGTCCCTCAAGTCGGCGCAGACCTTCCTACCCAGCACCAAGCTACCAGATCTGAAGATAAACGGTACCCGAGTCAACTTGAGTGCACACAACACGAAATTCTTCAAAAGGCGCCAGATGGCCGCTGCAGAGAGCTCAGAGCATGCGAACAAGTCTTCTCCGAGGCAAAGCCACCTAGTCAGCTTGCCGTCGCTAGTAGCATCAGCAGAGCTGGGGTAATTGTTGCTGCTCTGATAAATGGCACCCTATTTGTATCACCAGTGTATGCGCTAGGCTAAAATGATTAATCAACTGACGATAATAGAGAATTCACATCTTCCATTTTGTGGGCCCCCACTTCTAAAGCAACCTGTTTGGCAGGATTGGTAATAGTTGTACTGGGGCTTGAACATAGTATTAGTACTGCATACTTGCAGGATAAAAGATGATAATATAACATTGAAGTTGATATGTTTGGGCTCTAACATAGCAGAGAGTGTTTCAGTATAACAAACCCCAGAAGAGGCCCCGAATCCCAATATTCTCAGACCCCGAGGTTTTGGTGAGTAGGATTGTCTAGTGGTGTTGTATAAAACTGTGTTTGCAAAGAATCTGTGTGTTCTCCCTGTGATGGCTGTAGAATTCCTGAAATTCAAAGTGGATACAAATTGTTAGGTTTACATCGTAGATACCATTTTGATGCATATTGCTAACCTGGAAGCACAATTTTATCAGTTGAAAGCAGCTGAAAACGGGGAAGAAAAGTTGGAAAGCATATTGATAACGGATAATATTCTAACATGGATGTGTACTTACCCTAACATTGCTTGAATATGGAAGCAGCGCCTATGCAGCGTATTTTCAATGTTTTCATGTACACATTCTGCTAATGACCATAATTCCTAAATAATGACTAAAATGTATTGTAATAATGACAGCTAGTTGTGTATTGAGATGTATTGCCTAAAGCTAGGGGTAGCAATTTTCCCAATCCTGAGCTTTACTGAAGATTACACAGTATCATGATGTACAGACACACTGTTGCTTCCACACTGTTGCTTCCACACTGTTGCTTCCACACTGTTGCTTCCACACTGTTGCTTCCACACTGTTGCTTCCACACTTGTAAGTTGTATTTGTTGAACTTTGCTGGACGCGTGTTGACTGAGTGAAATGGAGATCATTTCTGTTCTCATGCGTTTACCTGTAGGACAATGGACCCTGTTCCGGCTACATCAGTGCTGCCGGCGACAAGTGCAATGTGAGTCACGTACACAAACACATGGCCGCGTGCACAAACACATGGCCGCGTGCACAAACACATGGCCGCATGCACAATGATTATAGTGGGCGGCCCGTGAAATCAGGTACGCTGTCGTGCACATGGACCGGCTTGGATTAATGCTCACAGTTGAAAACTCTCTGTTGCTGTGCCAAACCCCGGATCTGAGTCATCAGGTGAATCCTCAACATGTACACAAACTGCAGTCCTGGATACTTTGCTTCACATTTCCCAGGATATCAACCGGACTATACGTTAAATGCTCTGTAAGGTTGATGACATCGAGTGCATGTTCAGGATGGTCGAGGCTTGGGAAAGGGTACTAGTATCTTGTTTCAGCAACATCTACCCCCCCCCCCCCCCACACACACACACTCCTCTGTCTCACCTCTGTGCAGGCGTGGTTCAATGCTACCCCCTATTGAAGTGTCATCCAACCTTACCGGCCATGAGCTGCCAGGAACATCACCACCACCTCGGCGCTCCAGTGCGGTAAGCGATGCTGTTCACAACACACATGTGTGGAGCTGGAGACAGGATAGCTATGCTGCTTATCACACACATGTGGAGTAGGGTACAGGACAGTTTGGATATGTTCATCACACATGCCATGGTGTGCAGCTGGACACAGGACAGTTTGGATGAGAATCCTGGGCATTTTACAGCACTGTAACTTGAGCTGTTGCATGACATGTCTCCCTAGTAGCATGAATGAATCACGGACGTGACACACTCTTATACAACATTGGCTTGAGCTATGTAACACTGAGAGTTCACTTGCAGGTATAGTTACTTGATCCGTGAACAACCAGCTTAGTTCACACTGGACTGCGCTGGTCAATTTCACCGGTGTTCTCTTCTGTTTTGCTTATATTCGGACCCTTGTAGAAAAATCGTGTCCACTTCGGACAAGTGCAAGGCCGCGAAGGCAGCTTCTCGCCGTACGTATTGATCTTCAGTTCTCAGTTGCACTGTGCCTCTCGTACAGCATGACTGTATGTCAATGGCATGCACGCACGGTCATGCCCAATGAAACCCGAGCTCAGTTCGGGCTAAGTTAGCGCCAAGCTCCCATGTACTGCGTTAGTGTTGCCATTTCTGGTGCTGGACAGCGCTAGCGTGAATGTCCATTGCATGGTGGCGAGCTTGCAACTACCTCGTCCTTTGAAGTGTTTTGTCACTTGTCACTCGGTGTGCTATAGAGAATCGTCCTAAGCTGGCTGTGTTTCTAAAACACATCTGCATAAAGTGGGGAAAACACGGATGTGTGAACTTCACCTTCTTCTTCGTCTTTTTTTTGTTTTTACAAAACCAGAGTAAAAGAAAACAAATTGATTGCAGTGTATTACATTACGGCTGTTCCTATCCTATGTAAATGCCAAAGTCAGTGAACACAGGAGGTTGTGATCAGGCGCGTGCCCCGTATGGGTTCCTGGGTGCCCGGAATCCCCCTTTTTTCGCTCAAAATGCAGGATTTTGCTTCATTTTTGAAATTTTTCCCAGGGGAGGGCCCCGGAACCCCCCCCCCCCTTGAAGGGCACCGGCGCACGCGCCTGGGAATGGTGGCCCCCCCCTTGAAGGGCACCGGCGCACGCGCCTGGGAATGGTGCAGAAAAAAGCGACCATGCTTCAACATGCATCATGCGCATTGGTAGACCAGGCGTGTGTGTTAGAAAATTCAAGCCGGGTTCCAACAAGCTGGGAATCTGACAGAGCCCCAAATGTCCATGCCGGCCACAGGCGCTTCGTTGAAATTGGAATTATTTGAAAGGAGATTGCCAGAGACATGGAAGCATCCGAGAGATAGCCCCGAGGAAAAGTTCAAGGGAGCAGATTGATGCTAACATGTCACATAGGATTGTTCAGAGCGATAGTAAATCTGATTAGGAGTGGGCTGGGGGGGGGGGGGGGATAACTTTTTACAACAGCTTTATGAACACTGCAGTGTAACCAGCAAGAGAAAGATTCCGTGGTTGGATTTTTTTCTACTTTTGATGGCTGCAGCCATCCGTGTGACCCCCAAGGCGTATTTGCCAAGGCATTGTAGCTTGTTGCACTGTCAACAACCGTATTTTCCAGGGTACAAGCCATACTCGAAACACCAGTA